TGTATAAAATTATACTTTTATTAATATTTGTACATTAAATGCATAATATATGGTAAAGTTATCAATGATTTCAATAAATAATTAAATATTTTGACACAAAAATAGCATTAATTTAATTGTTTAATAAGAGATTTATTTGTTCAATGAATGCAATAAACGTAAATCACATGCTAAAATATGCTCATGAATAAAGTGCCTTGATCACTTTGTTTATGTTAGGATTAGCGTTCAAAATGTTAACAACAAATGCAAGTAAAACATGAAATTTGCATTATTTTGACAATACTTGTCGACTACAGCACTACTAATATTCTTAAATTACTTTATTATATAATAGTTTTAAGAGAAGAAATGAAATCAATGTTAACTTTAACGGAAACAACTGGAACTAATGGCGGCACCGGAGGTAATAGTGGAACCGTTGATAACAATGTCGTGAGCAAAACCAATGGTCTGATTGGAACCAATGGAGTTTCTGGTGGTAATACCGGGACAGGAGTGACGGGCACTGCTATCACAGGAACTAATGGCGTGAATGGATTGCCTGCTATTGACAGCAAAAGACGGATCTATAACTTGTACTATAAGTGGTAAAACCAAGCGAATGGTTATATGAATAACGATGAAAACACCGCTCATTATTATAATATCAATACAACACACGTTATAACTCTAGTTATTACCGCTATCTTTATTGCGGCAAATAAATAGCAACATTTATATTCCATTTAAACTCCAATGTAATTGCCTAAATTTATAATTTACTCAATATACTACTATAATATATAATTATTATGAATAAATTTGTATAATTCAATTCATTTAAATTATTTAAAAATATTTTTAATAAATAAAGTCATTACCCGTAATATTTTATACTGTAATTATACTAAAATTTATAGCATTATTATTCATAACAAACAAAATATTTGGTATTCCGAAAGATGTACAATAAAAATCTCACCATTTATCACAACTTTTGACTTTAATTGTGATTTATAATAAAACTAATTTTGATACCTATTTTTACGAGTATAAAACCTTAAATTATTTTGCTCCTAGCTCACACCGTGCTTAGAATTATATCATTATTAATGATTCATTAGGGGTGTACTATAAAGTTAATATTTTAAAAACACCTTTGTGGTTCAATAACCATGTCATATTAAAAATATCCACTATTTCATCCTGAACTATTTTATTCTAAATAGACATGAACAATTAGGATCTAAATATAAGTATGCATACCTGAAACTAATTTATGTACAGTATTGTCAAGGGATTCCCTGTACTGTAATACTTTATATGATACTAACTATTTAATTTAATAATAGAAAATATTTACAAAAACTATACCTTGTACAAATAACAATCATATAATATAAGCTAACCCATAATTTAAACCCAATAATGTTTATTGTTTATCATTATTAAACAATAGGTAATGTAATTTTTGTACAAAATTTGTAATAATATTAATAATTTATATTAAAAAATATAATTAATTGGTTTAGTTTAATTTAATTTAAATTGCAACATCTTTATCTGAAAACATATGGTTAAAAGTTCTACAAATTAGCCAATACCTCGCTGACAAATAACAAAATGAAAGTTTTATTAATAATAAAATTAATTAAAGTCATCCATTAATTGACTGCATTTTCAAAACCACTTTTAGTCTTTAGTATTTCATTAGGAGATAAAGACAAACACATCACAAGAATAATGCGATTCTTGGTTGCCGTCACTCTATTGGCTTCGTTGGGAAGCATATCAGGTATGAAAACGAGTTATCAAATACATAACAATTTACTAATTATTAACAAAATTAATGCAATGAATGTATAGTCACGTCAGTGAAGGCCAGGACAATGGAAATCAAAATCAATGATGATGGCAGTTCAACTGATGGCAACTATGGCGGCCCTTCATGGGGAACCTCTGGAGGCGGCGGCTCTTCATGGGGAAGCAGGTCATCATGGTCATCAACCTCTGGAACCAGTGGCCCCATACCATTTGGAACCACTGGAGACAATGGCGACATCAATGTGCAAATCAATGGCGATCCGTCAATGGGAACTCCAATGGGTGCGACTCACGGCACTTCATGGACAAGCAGTAGCGGCACTTCAATGGTGCCGACTAGAACCGGATCCAACAGGAGGATTGTATTGGACATCAATGGAGGTGATGGCGGCCCTCCACCGGTTCCCACTAGCACTTCATGGGGAAGCAGCACCTCGTGGTCGTCAACCAGTAGAACCACCGGTGGAGGTATGCCTGGAGGCGGCGTGGAACCGGCCTGGACACCGGGTGAACGCAGAACTATAACCATTACCATAAATGGCGTTGAGAACGAGGTTGAAACCGTTGGAAGTGGACGGGACAATGGAGGAACGCCAATAAACAGCGAGCCCGGACAGTCAGCAGGTTACATCGCAACCAATGGATTCGTCTATAACGCGATTGACAAACTCATCGGTTATATGGAACCCGATGGAGACACCGCCTGTGACTATAGAACCAATCAAGTGATTGGTTTCAAAAAACTTTACATTTTAGATAGAGACAAGAAGAACAAAAGATGCACTTCAGTCACTTCGTGGTCAACCACTTCAACCACTCGTGCAACTGGCGGAGGCCGAAGCCATACGATTACCATTACAGTGGATGGCGTTCCCACACAGGCGCCCACCACAGGTGTCCCGAGTGGAGTCCACATATACAACGCCGCCGGACAGCAGTCCGGTTACGTCTACAACAGCTTCATCTATAACTTCAATAACAAAATCATCGGTTATATGGATAACGACGGAAACACCGCTCGTTATAAAGACAACAATCAAATCATTGGTTATAAAACAATCACATCTCTCAACCCGAATGATCCAAATGGCCCGGATGGCCCAAGTGGTCCAGGTCGTCCAGGTAGAAGCACTACTATTACCATTCCAATGAATGATCCCTATGGCCCGAATGGTCCAAATGATCAAAATGGCCCGGAAGGCCCAAATGGTCCAGGTGGTCCAGGTGGTCCAGGTGGTCCAGGTCGTCCAGGTC